TGCTGCTTCATTGTCGAAAAAATTTTCTGGCTTTTTCTTTAGATCTACAATGTCGTTCAACAATCGTTTGAGCCATATCACTTCACGAGCTGCTTCACTTGCGGCAACGATTTCTGCTTCAGTAGTTGAAATCGCAACTGAGGGTTGACGTTGGCTAAACCAACTGATCACGCTTCCTCCAAACATACAGATTACACCTGATGTCGATCTTCCACTAGATTTATCACCTCCATGATCTGCATCACTGTAGGCTATAAGTGTATTGTTTTGACCAGACTTGTAAACAATACCGACATCAGCTGTGCCTTGCAAATATCTGAAAATTTGCTTGACTTGTGCTACATTGGACTTGCTGGATTTTTCCAAACTTCTGGATGCTACTCCAACTGCATATGCAATATCTGGTCTTGTTCCCGTCATCAAGTACATCAATGCACCAACTGCTGATCTGTAAGGAAATTTCACTTCCTCGTGTTCATTGAACTCCTCAGATTTTGTAATCGGAGTTGTACAGGATTTACACTGACTCATCCCAAACTTTTCAAGAATCATTCTTGTATAGGATGACTGGCTTACATTAATATTTCCCTTCTCATCTTGATTAATCTCTAATCCAAGGAAATATGTTGCAGGTTTAGATGTTATCTTGAACTCTGACTTTAATTCTTTTTCAAATATTTTTAGTTCTTCTTTATCGGTTCCTGCAACTAGTCCATCATCAACATACAGTGCAAGTATGAGTTTCTTTCCTCCCTGTATTCTAATGAACAAACAAGTATCTGCATCGCTTTGTTTGAAATGCCTCTTTTTCAAGAATTCAGCAAAGCGTTTGTTCCAACATCTTGGAGCTTGTTTAAGTCCATAGAGACTTCGCTTGAGCTTACAGACTCTTCCTGAATTATCTTTAAAACCTTCAGGTTGCTCCATGTAAATATCTTCATCTAGTTTGCTGTATAGAAATGCTGTTAACACATCAAACTGCATGAGTGACATCTTTTCATTTGCAGCAACACTTAATAGTGTTCTTATAGTTGAACTTCTGACCACAGGACTATAGGTTTTTTCATAGTCAATTCTCTTTTTCTGAGAAAAACCTTTTACCACTATCCTGGCTTTAAAACGTTCAACAGAACCATCTGGATTGTGTTTTACCTTGTTTTACCGTTTTACCCATTTGCATGGTATTGCCTTATGACCTTTTGGAAGACTTACCAAATCCTACGTTTGATTTTCCTTTAATGACTACATTTCACTGTTCATGGCTTTAAACCATTCATCTTTTTCATCACTTTGAATGGCATCTTTGTAGCTCACTGGTTCAAGTACTTCAATTAATGCAGACATAACGAAAGGATCATAACGAGATGGCTTTTTGATATTATTCCTCTCACGTAAAACCATATCTTTGGTCATTTGATTACAACAGTCAGATTGATTTTCTTCATCAGATGAAACTGAACTACGGTTGTGAACATCTTCATCAGTTGAAATAATTTCTTTAATCAAAGTTTCTTTATTTTCATTTTTGATTTCAACACCAATCGAAACTGTATCATCTGAACAACTTTCTTCTTCCAAAATCACTGAATTTGGTTTGACAACCTTCTCATCAAAAATAACATCTCTTGATCGATGCATTTTAACACGTTTCTTATTCTGATGTCCCATTCTTTCATGGTATAACTGCAATGCATCTTGATCATTGACAAAGTTAACTTCGACTTCAGAATTCAACGGTCTAACAGTTTTTGCAACAAGTTTGAACAAACCTCCATTGTTGTTTTTTATTCCAACAACATTTATCATATTGTCAATAAGTAGATGACAACTTCTTGAGGTTGAAACAAAAGAGCTATTTCTGTTCTTATCTTGAGTTGCAAGTACTGAGAACAAATTTCTTTTTACTTTTGGCACATACAAGACATCTGTAAGTTTAACAGTTTGCCATTTATTATTCACTTTCACTTGAAGATAAATAATTCCTTTTCCAAAAGCTTCTACAGTATCACCATTTGCAACATATAATTTACTCAGTTGAGAAAATTTTTCAAAACTTTGAAATATGTCTCTTCAGAAAGTTAGATGACACGTTGCACCACTGTCAAAAAACCATTCATCAGTGTACGCTGACTCATCAACTGCAAAAACACTTGATTCCATAACAACTAGTGACTTATTGTCATCGCGTAGATTGTTATTTCTTGGTTTTGCTGGTCTACCATTTTTCACAATTTCTTACAATGTGACCTGGCAATTTGCAATAATGACAGTCGCTTTGGTTTGCTGACAAATTTATCTTGTTTTTGACCATTCATGTTTAGTGATGATGACCTTTTAGTTGTTGCTTTGACAAATAATACTTTATTACATTCTGTTTTGCCTTCCAAAGATCTCTCATAGCTACACAGTTGATCTGTGAGTGTTTCGACTGTTCTTTCAGTCTTGTTCAACAATCTCCAAATTGCAGCAAATGAAAAATATTTTTCTGGCAAAGTTTCAATTATTTGACACATCAGCAACAAGTCACTGTTTTCATCTTTTCCTAACTCAACCTTTAAATCTTTCCAAAGATTCTTGAGTTTAGTGACATGAGTGACAACATCATCGCTTTCATCTATTTTATAACTGAAGAACTTCATGCATAAGTTGTATGCTTTATCTTCATTAACTTCATCATACAATCTGTGAAGTTCTAACCAAACATCTCTGGCATTACTGAATGAACGAACTTTTCATCGGTCATGTTGGTTGACAGAATAATCATAGCACTACAATCTGCTTTATTGAATCTGTTCAAAGCAGTTTGATATTTTGCTATCTCATCTTTATTTGAGTCATCGTTTAATTCATCTGGAATTTTTAATTTGCCATTTACTACGTCCATTGCATCAGGAATGCCGCGTAGTATTATACAAACCCCTCCATTCATATTTCCAGTTCAACCAATTACTTTTGCCTTCTAGGTGTTTGATCTGCACTTTTGTTAGATCCATTCTTCCTTGTCTTTCAATTTGACCTTTTAATTAGAAGCAAAATATCGACTTTCAGAGAATGAAGAAGCACGTGTTTTTTCTTCACTTCAGTCTTCACAAACACAAAGGAATATTCCGATATTTCTTAATTCTAAATTTTCTTCGTCAAATCAATTAATTAAGAAAAACGTTATCTGGGTCCCATAACCTGTTAAATTTCTTGTCACGTAGATCGTTTAATTAATTGATATAATATTGAAAGACATTAAAAGAAGAGAAATAAACTAAGCAACGTTTTCGACTTGTTTATTATCCACCGGATCAACAGAAAAGGAAAAAAGTGAAGTTACATACAAGCAAAGAACATTTGGTCCAAAGAAAAATAAATGTATATTATAAATCATAATGTTTTAATATAAAACATAAAACTTAACAGGTCTGACTGCCAGTGCTTATAATAACTGATGCAACTTCTGAAACAAAACGTACGATTGGCTGACAGATTAAGAGATGTAATCGGCGGGTCGCCAACTAATAGCAACATCAATACTGTCATAGTAAAATAAGTGAGTCTATATCAAATGAAATTAGAAATTACGGTAAATGATTTTACAAGAAACCTGTGGAGTAACAAGGAAGTAGCGAGCGAAGGTCCGAGGCTTTTTAATATCCTGATAGAAGAATTAATAAATTAAACTGTTGTTTTTTATTTATTCACCAAAACTGCCAACATATTTATTTATTAATTTTCCTATATATAAATTAAATTACATGTCATTCGCCATAATTGATAAAAAAAATTTAACACAACACGTATCAGTGAAATAAACTGGAGTTCAATTTAAGTAAAACATTGAAATAAAAATTATATAAAAGTTGTAATTTCAAAGTATAATTTCGTAATATAAAAAGCATTAAATAATGCGCCACAAAAATAAAATTATCATTAAATATAACAGCAAATAACAAAAACAAACTCAACTATAATTAGTTTTTAATTTAAATAAGTAACAAATATGCATATATCTCTAAATCACTGGTCAACTTGTGTAACCACCGATCTTCGGCTAATAGGAGGAAATCAACATTTAAGTTATACAACATTCAATTTTTGTCAATAATAACAATAACAAACAATAATATAACCGTTAGAAAAGCTTCTAAAATACTCCTAAAATAACAAACTACGGTACACAATATATATATATATATATATATATATATATATATATATATATATATATATATATATATATATATATATATAATATTTTTTTATAATTACACTTTTAAATATTAAACTAAGAAGAATTGGATGAATTGGATGGTTGTTGCTGAGTAAGCCCTGCCTCTAAAGCCAAACCTCGGAAGATGCCGTCTGGTTTGTTGAGCAGGTTCTGAGGGGTGTCAAACTCCATTACTTCTCCTTTGTCCAACACAAGTATTCTAAAATTAAATATTGCAAATATAAATTTAAAAAGATTTTGAAGTCAGTCTTACATATGATAACAACCCACGCCATAAACAACCCACGCAGATGACAACCCAATCGGATGTTAACCAACCCATAAAATCACCCAAACAGGTAACTGATCACCTAAATATCAACCGACCCAGATAAGAACCGACAGAGATATCAACACACACGGATAACAACGCGAATATGCTGCTTGTCGACACAAAAAAAAGATAAAGATAATCAATCAATCAATCAATCAATCAATCAATCAATCAATCAATCAATCAATCAATCAATCAATCAATCAATCAATCAATCAATCAACCAACCAACTGGCTAATAAATCAGCCAATCTCTTAAAACTTACACAGGGTTTTCAAAGTAACTGAAGCTCTTAACTCACATATAAAAAATAGTGCCAAGTAAATATACAACAACAGCAGACCTTGAATAGTCCATGATGGTGTTGATGCGATGAGCTATCGTGAGAGTGGTGCAGTTGAAAAACTGGGTGCTGCGTGCAGAAGAACAAGGAACGTAGGTAAGTTTCGACCGAGGAAATTATTTATTTAATTAACAAAAAGGTTCAAATCAAAAATTGAAATTAAAATTTATACAGTGTAAAACTCTCTGCATAAAAAAAATTAATTACACACTAAATTCGATCAACTACAAATTTAACAAATTTATTTAAAATGCTTTAACAATTAACAATCAATTTTCATTTGGTACATCGAATTTAAAATTTCGGTTTGCAGGCTGTAGTATCTAATATTATCGACCAAACACTACAAATTTCAATCAGTCAATCAATCAATCAATCAATCAATCAGTCAATCAATCAATCAATCAATCAATCAATCAATCAATCAATCAATCAATCAATCAATCAATCAATCAATCAATCAATCAATCAATCAATCAATCAATCAATCAATCACGGTATTTCGTACAGCCTCATTTAAACAATTTTCAACAGAACTCCACCTAACTAACCTGATAGTTGATTGGATGAGAGCATCAGTTTCCATATCAACAGCAGCGGTGGCTTCGTCCAATATCAAAATTTTTGATTTGCGCAACAAGGCACGAGCCAGACAGAGCAGCTGCCTCTGCCCCACACTGCACGCAAGGAGCAGTTTAACCATTTATTAAAGACATTTTAATCATCGGTGCGAATTTCTAAATTAATAATAGATTTATCGAATTAAACAATCATTTCAGAAGATGGACGGCAAGCAAATAAACCTTCAAAACATGAAGCAAGTGCAAGAAAAAGGCGAAATGATAAGAAAGAATGTAAGATGAAAGAAAGGATCTAAAAGTTAAATAATAGTGAAACGGAAAAACAAAACTTGAAAAATTTAAGCAATTTAATGGAAAGAGAAACGGCTCAAAAATTATTTCCAAGAAGTTAAACAAGGCTGAGCTAACATAAAAGAAAAGATAAAACCTTTCATGCGAAGTGAATGATAGCCGGCCAATTTTTAACATATGCTATTAAGTCAACGAGGAGATTAAAACGCTGAGATGGCTTTGAGGAGAAGAAAAAGAAGAGGATCATGGCGATGCCAACTGAGAAGATAAAAGTAAGAAAAAACAAATAATGGAAAAATTTTTTTAGAAAAAATGGGAGGAAATGAAACTGCATCAAAATGTTAACGAGAAATTTTAGAGGAATATTTAAAAAAAATCCAGAATATAAACCAATGAACTGGCTTAAAATAAAAAAATGAAAATTATTCAAAGCAGTTGTCAGACCTGAAGTTAATGCCTCCTTCCCCGACTTCGTGCAGTAACTTGTCCTTCAGCTGGTTGATGTGCTCACTGAGGTGGGCGAACCTGCGTTTGTTGCAATGCGAATGTCGTCCTTCATATGCACATCAGAAAGTAATAGAAGCGGAGGAGACATCAATCACATCAACACAAACAACATGCTATGTAATATGTAATATGATGCAAATCACGTGATGCAGAGACTGACCTGAGAGATGACCATATTTCATCGTCAGTGTACTGCTCAAATGGATCCAAATTCATTCTTAACGTACCCGAGAACAACACCGGATCCTGGCAGAGGAAGTTAGTTAATTATGAAGTAATATTGCAATGTTAAACTCTGAGTAAGATAACTATAGAAGTTTAAAACATTCATCGAATAATTTTATCGACGATTTACCGATATATGACACTTTACTGACGAACGAGTCTAAGTTTTAATTATTTTAAAGCAATATTTGGAGTGAAAAAAATTACTGAAGCAATAAGTACACTAAGCACTAGATAGCTTAATTTCAAGTCAATACATTTTTACAAGGAAAAAACCATCAAGCTTGACATGCCAGCCAGATGTCATTTCTATTGCCAACTTTCCGTGTCATCAGTCGTGCCAATATGACCAAACAATGTTAATTATTATAAATGTTTGTCTATAAATTATCATTGTTTGTTTATATATCATCATTTTTTATAATATAATATTGTATGGTCATATGTGTGTTTGTTGAGAATTTTGTTAGACTAATGTAGACTAATGTTTATAAAGTTAGACAACCAACCTGTGGAATGATGGTCAATTTGGATCTTAAGTCATGCAATCCAATGCTTGAAATGTCCACATCATCGATTAAAATGCATCCGCTGTGCGGTTCGATTATTCGAAACAAGCCGATAGTTAAGGATGATTTGCCAGCTCCCGTCCGACCAACGATGCCAACCTGAGTGGTGACGGTTATTTTGCTGACGGATAACTGAATTATATCAACGTTCGATCGTTTCTCCATTCAAATAATAAGTATTAATTTAATAAATGACATGCATTCAATCGTTTTAAATGTGTCTTAATAAAATCTAATGAACAATTATTTAATGGTTCCAACCAACAGTCTTATGAGCGAAAAATAATGTTACAAAAGAAAGAAGAAAAAGGTTTCAGACGAGTGAAAAATGTGTGTTGTTGAATGCAGGTGCTGCAAGTGAGTAACCGATATCCTTCATATTTGAATGAAAGAAAATGGCCATAAAAATTTTGGTTGCACTTTACATTGAGACATGCTCGGTGCAGGCAGGTTGTGACAGGACAAAATGAGGATTTCAACTGCAGTTTAACACGGAATAAATGTAGAGTATTGAGAATTCGTGAGTAATATTAATCGATGTGAACTGGTTTAAACCAGTTAAAGTAGGGAGTTAGTTGAGAATTAAGCTAAAGATCAAAAGGCAGTCATTTTGAAACGAAGCGCCAATGTCAATGTGTTTGAAAAAGCTCACTGCAAATAATATGCAACGGATGACGTCTGCTTTAAAAAAGATAGAAGAAGGCCAATGAAGATTGGAAACCATGAAAAGAATGGTTTGCCTTCTAGCATTTTAGCAGAAAGTGACAATACAGTATTTACAAAAGGGTTACGTTTAGAAAGTAAGGAATGATTTTGGCTTAAACATGTTTGAAAACAAGATCAGACTGCTTATTGTATTTTTTCAGACTGCTTATTGTATTTTTTAGATTACGAAATAATTATTTTTGGACGAGCTCAACTTCAATATAGTCAAATATAAAAATTAAATTCAAACACAAAAACGAAGTATAATCAAGTAAAACACAAAAGAACAAACTCTCTCCCCCGGAGCAATGAGGCACGATATAGCCTTGAGAACTGGTTCCATGTTCCTGTAAGCCAGTGAATAAGATTTAAACTCAATCAGGCCTCGGTTTGGCCAATCAGGTTTGGGTCTTTCAGATTCAATAACCCAATCAGCCTGCAATGAATAAATTAATCACATCATCCTTTAATGACTTTTCCAATAACTCACGCTATGTATTGATATGATGTTTAGGTAATTAAGATAAAAAAAGAAGATGCAGTTTCAAATGGAAGTTCGAAATAAACAACCTAGAACAAAAAAATTTTTTTAATTTACTTAATAAAAAATAAAAATTATATACTTCAGATTCTTTTTCAGTATATTCCTTTATTCTTTCAACCGACACAATATTAGTTTCCGCTTCACTGGACATCCTTATCATCCAGTTTAGCGTTTGTGTGATCTAACAACAACACATTCAACAAACAGTTGTCAAATACGATTTCACAGTGCATTGTAAAGCAACCGAAAAGATAACCCATAAAAAGATTTTAAACAGTTTTGTTTGTTTTTAATCGATCAAACTTCTGAGTTTATGATAATTTATGTTGTACTTCTGCTCTCATTACTTATATTTTAATTATATATATATATATATATATATATATATATATATATATATTCGTTGTTTTGTTTTTTAAAATGCCATGCAATTATTTATAAAAAGGGATGTTAGTGAAGCTATGTGCTGAAGAGTAAAATTGAAGCAGATTGTACAAGCTTCGCTTACTCATAAATACTGATAAAGTCCTTATATTCGTAATTTTAATAAATTGGAAACCTACCAACAAGTTGTTAAATAAATTTAGAGAGTTAATTGTAAACTATCATCTTAGGCAGCAGTTGCTTATTAATATAATATATAATTTAATGATGGGCGCGGAAAACTCATGACCATATCAAAATTTAGGCATTCGTTAATGATTAACAACTTTAAAACTCATGGAGAAGTTGAAAGTGAGTAAATACTTTAAACCTAATGGAAAACCAATAAAATGAAAAAATTCCAAAGAATAAATAAATAATTGAATAAATAAATAAATATATTCAAATAAGAGAGTTTTAAAATAGAGCTAACACTGAGAGCGTAGACAACTGAAAGGCCAACGATACCGGGAGATACCTTATCTCTGAATATAACAGAAAATAACGATGCAAACAGTACCAAGCAGTTGCCAATAAATTCCAGTCTGACAGCCAACCACCTGAAATTATTATAAATTCAAAGAAATAAGAAACATCAACAATTAACAGCAACCAAAAAACCTGTTCGAAGCAATGGATGGATAGTTGGCAGTGGTGTAATTATCCACCTTCCTCTCAGAATCGTGAATGAACCGTTCCCTTTGGTTGAATGCTCTGATCGTTGAAGCCCCTTGAACTGATTCTCCAAAATGCGAGAAAATTGGCGATCTGTTGGTCGATTCTATGCGACGAAGTTGCCGAGAAGTCCTTATGTAGAAACGCTATATAAAAGTCAAATTAAAAAGTTTTGATATTTTAAAAGACAAATTACAATATGTACCAAAATTCATATAATATCAACGCGTTTAGAAAAGTTCAAAATCTCAAATATAAAATAAAATCGTCAAACAAAAAGCGACAGCTTAAAAGAACGATAAGTTTCAAAGTCGAGCGAGTTTGAGAATTGAGCAAAGGCAACTCATATAGTGATCATCGTGTTGAATTCTCTGATTCAGCCTTAACAGAATTAGTGGCGCATAGAAACGAACTAACAACGTCAACTGTTGCAAATTTCGGTGAAGAGATAGCGTGAGTTGACACATGAGATAAAAGTTCAGTAAAGAAAGGAGCCTGGAGGCGGTAAAAATGATATGTCGAATGCAAGAGAAGAAACAGAAAAATGATAGTGCATGATGGCCGGTGAAATTACATGGCCGGAGTTTGTCCGTCTAAGAAATTGAAAATTCGGTGGCAGCAACAATTCAAGTGATGTTAAGCCATTACTACGTGAACAAGAAGAGGATAGTCTCATTTAAGCAACTATTATTTATCATTTAAATACTACAACTACTTCTAATTATATATATATATATATATAGCAGTTTATATATATATATATATATATATATATATATATATATAGTTTATTATAAATAAAAAAACGAATTACCTGTACTAAGAAATAGATGACACCGAGAGGTAAAATGACCAGTAGAAACAGAGGAGTGTTATAACTAATAACAAATACAGTACCCAAGACACCAAGAGCGCATTTGATGAGGACATCAAAATTTCCAGGCAACGTGGCGTCCATCGTGTCAATATCTTTCGCGAAAACATTTATCAATCGGCCAACGGGTGTTGTCTCGAAGAATGACATCGGAGAACGAAGAACTTTATACAACAATAGTTTGTGCAGACTATTTGAAGCCATTAATGCACCCCTGGCCAGAATGAATGCACCAGCCAACACTGCTAAACCTGTTTGTGAAAACGAAATGATTTTACAATTATTTTAAAAATTTGAGAACGTTCTTTAGAATAATTTAATATTGCTATTTCTATGTTTCAAAAAATTTTGTCTTTTGGATGACAGTCAATAAATGACAACCAGTTTCAGAAATAACGTACAAGATATTGTTTTTTAATAAGATTTACGATGTCATGTGGTTGGGTCATAATTGAAGTTTTCAATATGATAAAGAGAGCAGAAATAAAAACACTGACTTTGTCCGAGACCAAGAGCCCCATAAACTCCAATTCTCATGACGACATCTGGATCAACTGTATTCCTCTTTACAAGATCGTAAGGAACGCTAGTTATTGTTGTAACTTTGTGAAACATTTCAATAGTGTTTGTATCATTATTCGTATTGTTAATAAAAGCATCATTTGAAAAGTTTTTGTTGTTGAATTTTTTGTAATTGAGAGTATTGTGATCACTCCAATCACTCAGCCAAAAGTTGGAACTAATGCTGAAAACTGCTTGAAGTACGAGGAAGATGAGGACACTGATCGCAATAGGATAACTCAGTGCTTGCATGTATGTCTTGTATATTGCCAGTTTGACCTAGGTAAATTTAAACTTCTTATTCACACTAATGTTAACAAATCGCATATTCAGTCTGGTAGCACAACCAAAATTGATTATCTTTGATAAATTAAGAGAAACATTTTGATAAAACTAAGGAACCCACCCCTCCTTTCTCCATTTTTTCTTCAGTCATTAATTTTCGGTTATCTTTTTTCATGAGAGGTTTGTTTTCAGAAGATGACAGCACAACACTTTTTTGCTTCGAGAATGACGTCAACATTATCGACTCTTTATTTTGGGCATGCTTAGTCTATTGTGACATTTCATAAAAGCATTTTGTAAGTTAAAATAAACATTTCGGAAATTAAATGTATAAAATTACGCTAGCGTGCATTAATTCGCCAACAGCATAAAAATAAGATACAAATGTATTGGGACGACTCACTGCCAGAACTGAGTTATCCTTTTCTTCTTCATCTGCAATAAGTGTGGGATGGTCAGCGAACTTGAGAGGAGAGCGTGGACTCCTCGGGGTAGAAACAGGAGATCCGTCGGACTTCGAAGTGTCCCTTCGTAACCTGCCTATTCTGAAATTTGATACCAAATAAATAATTCCTTTCTTACAATTGAAATACAAAGAAATAGCTTTGAAAAGCATTCACCAATATAATTAACATGTTCAACATCATACGAGTAAAATCTCTGCGCTTAATTTCTGGCTAAACGTTCTTTTCATTAGCACCCAACAAGCTCGTTCAAATCTTTTCTCACATCTAACCACGTTAAGAACAGTCAATTTCTGATATTTCTTCGATTCACCTCTATCATTTCACAACATTCTACTAAATCCTTTCTTCACTCTACTCAAACGAACGAAACATGTCAACTTGCATCCTTCCTGAACAAACTCAAACCATCACTAAACAAATTCGATGCCAAAAAATTCCTACAATGCTTATTCCACTGAGTATTTACTATATGCTGCGGACCTTTCCGACATTCCTAAATATTCTATAACACCACCAAAACTATACAACATAACATGAGTTGAATTGAAGAAATGTAACACAGCACAACACAACACAACACAATATAGCATAGCATAACATAACATAACACAACATAACATAACAAAAACGGAGACCTTCATCACAAGTCGAATTCCGGTTTTTTTAAGAGAATAATAAAAAAAATAACATGGCATAACGCGACAACATAACTGTACATGAAAAGTGTTCATGTCAGGAGTATATACAAATTAACTGTTATTGAAAATTTATTTTAACATGAAAAAAAATATATATATATATATATATATACATATATATATATCAGTAAATTTCGGTAACAAATTTTCATTTAAGCATATTTCATTAAACGCGATGCTTATATTATTATTTAATTTTTTATTAAGATTTTCTATTTTTCTTATTAGTTTTTTATAATTATAATTTAAATTAAAAATTAGAACACCAATATTCATTATATAATTATTTATTAAGCGACGTTTCGAATTTTATAATTCATCTTCAGGCAATTTAATATTAATTCAAATAAAACATAACAATAAACTGTCAGATGACGTAATAAGAGTTGAGCGCGAAAGTAACGTAACGATTAAAGTTAAATAACATAAGTAGTTAAATTAAGTATAATAAACAATTATTTTGTAATATAACATAATAAAATATATTATATGTGCAATATCATGTTAATAATAATAATAATAAATTAAACATTTCGTGATGAAGGTAAAATAAAACTGGAATAAATTTGTTTGTTCAAATTAGGTTTCTAAATATTAATAAATAGGGAATATTGTTGCTAGTTTAACGTTGGGACTATTTTTTATTAGTAGTTGTTGCGACTTAAAACTTTTATAATAAATAAGAAGGTTTATTTTTTCATTAGAATCAACTGGATGGACTCCTTTTTTAATGATTTTTCTAATTATATATTCGTCTTCTTTATACGAAGAGCTCATTAAGTTACGATAAAATAAAGTTAATTTTGCACTGTCGGTATTGTTGTTTGAGTTGTTGTTATTGTTATGAATGGAGTTTGCGATAACGAGGTTGTCATTGATTATCCATATTTGATGAAATAGTAAAAAATGAATGAAAAATACTCACTGGTCCTTCACGACATCTCTATCTTCAGCAACGTGGATCAGGATTTCTTCTCTTAAGGTGATATCTGGCATGCATTGAGATTAAAAACTCGTTTTAACATTGTTTTGGGCGCACTTTACTACAATAAATCAATCAATCAATCAATGATCCTCCTTTGTCCATCAGGAGACCGTCGAGGCCGACGGTGTACATCTAAGCATGCTTTTAACATTTCTTTACTTTTTTTCTTTCAAAAAACCTTTTCTATCTTTGGCCAGTTTATTAAATTCAGAATACCAACACCAGTCCATTCAGTAATGTCATCTATCCATTTCTTTGCAGGTCTACCAATTTTTTTCTTCCAATCTCTTTTCCTCATTAGTACCATCTTAATCAATCTGTCTTTTCTCATTTTACAAATGTATCCAAAAAATCCCAATTTTCTTTCTCTGACTTTGTCATATACACTTTTCTGTCTTCCAAGTTGATTTCTGATGGTCTCGTTTTTTACTTTCTGCCCCCAACTGATTCCCAATAAATTTCGGTAACACTTCATCTCAAATGCTTCCAGTCTGTCTTTGTCTCTTTTCTTTATTGTCCATGTCTCACATGCATTTTACTACGTATTCCATTAACCACGTTAACTCAAACAAATTATTTATCAAATTTTATTAACTCCTTACCGCAATATATTTATTCAGTTACAAAAAAAAATAAAACTAATTTTCTCAAATTAAAAAAAAATGTTAGCCACGTGAAATTTTACCTTCTTCGTCCATTTTTATATTTTCGTCCTGTGCTTCTTGTTGAATATGCGTTCTGAGAAACTCTGCAAAAGCTCCTTTGTTACTTAAGAGTTCGTTGTAAGTTCCCATCTCTGATATCCTCCCATCTTTCAAGACAACTATGGTGCTAAAATCTTGCAGGAACCGCAAGCCATGAGTCACAAAGATGACAGTCTGAAAAAAGATAAATAAATACAATACATGCGTTGAGCGCCAACGACATCACTCTATTAAAATAAAATGGGTACATTATTTTTTCATTGTTATTTATAAATAAAGTACTAAGAGCAGAGAGCCCGGCACAAAAAAGAATAAAAAAGATGACAGCTGAAGTTACTAAATAATGATACATTTATGATGTCATGAAATTAAAGTTTTTTTTCTTGCTATGTTGATTGGGCGATGATTCGATATTTTTGTTCTACCACAGTGACAAAGGCTGAGTAGTGCTTTCGATTGGTGGTTAAGTAAAAATTGTTTTATATTCTATTTTATGAGTGTGATTCTAATTTATTAGTTAAACTCTTTTCACAAACAAAACTGAATGAAGACGAATTTACATGGTGATTTTCTAAGGAGCGAAAACATAAAACAACGTTAAGGAGTTGGAAATTTAAGAAGTAGCAGTATAGTTATAATCAAAATAGAATTAGGATCAAAGTTTGAATTCACGTTGAAATTTTGTTACTCTTAAAAATAATTCTTTAGTATTAGAGATGAATGTGAATTTTAATTAAGGTATACCACCCTTATTCAATAAATAAACTGGGGCAGTTAGAATTGAAACAAATACGGGATCGACGTATCTACAACAAAGCGTTTTTATAAAGTCCATAATCTTCATGAAAGAATTAAAGATTTGGTCAACGTTTATACCACAGTAAATTAATAAGTAAAAAACACATCCGTTTTGTAGTAATCTGGTTGACAAGCAAAATCAACATGAATTAAAATGTTTAACAAACAAAGATTGGAAATAACAACGTAGCTTTATTTATATTACAAATAAATTGTCTAAAAAAAAGAACCTTATCTTTGAGCAGCCCATTTTTTCCAAGCACTTGATCGTAAATGTGCTTGCCGACGTGAGCATCAACAGCAGATAATGTGTCGTCAAGAAGATAAATATCACGATTGGAATAAACAGCACGAGCTAAATTTAATCTCTGTTTTTGCCCACCACTCAAATTTATGCCCTGGTGGAATTAATTACATCATAAAAACAACCTTAAATAATGAAGAAACGGAAAGATCAAACGACAGACTTGCTCGCCAACTTCTGTTGCATCTCTGGCGGGAAGCAGTTCAAGATCGGGAAGAAGTGCACATGCTTCTAGAACTTTGTTGTACTTTGCTCTGTCCATCACATTGCCAAACAAAATGTTTTCTTCAATAGAAGCATTTTGAATCCAAGCTTGCTGAGCTACGTAGGCTATGCTGCCCTGTTGTATTTTGTATGTGTAATTGTTGGCATAGTTGGAATGAATTTAACAAATGCAATAATAATAATTAATTATGATAATATTTAAAGAAAAAAGTAAGAAACGTTTGAAAAACTTTCATACAACATATCTAAGCGAACACAAACATTAATGCTGACAGATCCATGAACTTTTTCAGTTTCTCCTAAGATGGCGGATATAAGTGTGGACTTTCCACATCCGACCTGTCCAACAACTCCAACAAAGGCACCTTTTTCAACTTTTAGATTTATACTGAACAAAAAAAGGTATAATCAGGAATCAGCCATGAAATAAATACGCGCAAATTAAGAAAACCTACTCTTGGATGACTGGTTTGTTATTTCCAGGTGAGGCATCCCATGAAAATGATCCAGATTCAATTGTAATCGCTGGCTCGTCTGGTTGAATTAGTTACAAGTAATATCGCAAGTTATTAACGATTCACTTGGATTTAATTAATGGCTGTTTAGAGTGGAGTGGGCTCATCTGGTCTTGTGTCATTTAGAGATTTATTGTTTAATTTGGTTAATTAATTTGGTGAGAGAAATGTTTGGGTTGCTTTGGAAGAAAGTTGTTATGTGAAGTTTTATTGCTCAGAGGAATAATTTACTGAAATAATAATACCCGTAACTTCTAAACACAATAAATCCATTTAAAAAATTTGTAAGCTTTATACATGACTCTTTCTTGATATAACAAATTAATGAATGAATGAAACTAAGTTCAGGAATGATTTTGCCAAGAAAAATTTGAATTTAGTGTTGGTTGAAGATAATAGTTTAATTAACGCATGAAATTTTGAGTTCTATTGTAATTCGATCATGTGCTTATAAGATTTTTAGTTAGGGCTAAAAGCCATACAAAGCTATTAAATTCAATTATTAAAGCATTTTCACATTAAAAACTTTTCAGAAAACAATTCAAACAGTTTTAGTGTTTCAGCTTTGCTTTCGTTTATTTGTATTCATGTAAAAAATTATAAAGTTTCAAATCAAAAACTACATTATGTTTAAAATTTATGTGGTTTGTGAGGTGTAATCAATTGTTCATTATACTTCTATTGTCTCATATTAAAGAATATTTTCGACAATCCATGAGATCAATGGCTACGACCTTGATCAAGAGGGTTTTGAATTGAAACTGGACCTTCATTGTAAGAAATCTCAGTTCATGCAATTTTTGGAAATTCGGAGATTTAATAAAACGATTGAAGGTTAGCTTCGGTGAGTGCACTTTGTGGGAACATCAGAAATTTCTACCAACAGCCTAACCTAAGCGTGGCCGATATTTTTTATCTACGAGTCAAAGTGGGAAAAAATATTTTCGCGGGTCGGCCAAAGCGTGGGAGTTCTGTGGCATACTAAATATAAAAGCAACACGTTTAGTTATGGTAACAACCATTCATTAGCTTAATTGTTAATGAATAACTTTTAAAAAAATAGTTCAATAAATCAACAAATTAGCAAAAATATTAATGTGACGTTTTGCACTGCCAGTTATTTCATTAATATCTGGTTCAATATTAGTATTAGATTATTTTCCAAATTTTTTGGTCATCCAATCTTGATCTTTTCGCACTTTTATTAACATTCATTAAAGAAACTGTTATTTGTCCCTTAATATAAGTTGAAGTGAAGATTACTGATTCATTTTGGCAAACTTTTTTTAAATTTTCGCTTTGTTGCTTTTCAGTCGCCTAAATATAAATTATTTCGCTCATCTCTATATTTATCAAGCAATAATTGAACGCATCTTTTCAAAATGAACCGTTATTTTAATTTACAAAACGAGCCCTCTAAAATACAGTCAAAATACTATCGTGGGCCATGTGTTGGCCAAGCCAGCTCTAGCAGGAACATAAAAACTTGGCAGCTACGCTATACGACTTGACAAATTTGGAAAAACGCAACAGTCGATGCGGATATATAACATACATATTTTTATTATTATCATCACTACTATTACTATGAGTATCTGAATATGCGCTTTTACCTGCCTTTAAAAAAACATAAGTGTTCAATAAGCAAAAAATACTGACAGATAAATAGTGAGTGTTGCAAAAAATTTACTCAACTGAATTACCTTCTTTGATAAAATCAAACATGAAAACACCAGGAACAATAAACAACACATCAAATCAAAAGAGAAAAAAATATATTATAAGGAATGGCAAGCAACACTTCCCACCCATCAATGAACAAGACTTGACATCACAACGTACCTGCAACACCAACAAACTTCACAGCATCATCGTCAAGCTCTTCATTTATCAAAAAATATTCCAATCTTTTCACCGAGACGCTTGTCTGAAATAAAAACACAAAGTTAGCGGATATTTTTCCACTTTATATTGAAACAGGCACATCCAATTTGAAACGATAGAGAATTTAAATAAACCTGGACCATGGCAGCCACCAGACTTGGCAACATCAACATGGGAAATCTGAGAATGTTGAAAAGAGATAATGAAACAAATGCTTTTTCTGCATCCAAAATGTTATGCGTTGATGAGAGCACATACGTTGCAAAGGTTGCTACAGACACCTGTTTGGAAAGAACTTTAGCAGTGAAGTGTTACGTTATGGTGCATGCAAACAAGTTTTAAATTATATTGGGTCAATTATTTAATTAATTTTAACTTGATTCATGTAAATTGAAAGTAGTTTAAAAATACGTGAAACTTGCGTATCTCATTAAGAGATAACTAAACAACAAACTGTAAAAAAACTTAGTAAGTACCATGAAAGGTGAGCAGTGCCACAAGAAACTGGAGGCTGAAAGTAGGTAGGACATTTTTCTGAGAACCACCAACTCCTTCATGCGTATGTTCAGGATCTTCGTCTGGAAAGACAGCTCCCACGCGTAGAGTTTCAGCACCTAGGAACAATGAAGATCAACAATTTTTAAAACGTTGATAAAATTGTACACTGACTGTTCATATTTTAATGATAACAATAACAGTTAAAGAAACTGAAGATGATAGCGACAGAAGCAATAAGAGCACAAACATAACAACCATGCCAGTAAGTGCTTGCTAGCTGCAAACAAACATGTCTACAAAGAACATGCGATATTCTGCCTGTCATGTTTGTGCAATTAAATATTGATAATTCAGATCAAAACCAAGGAGTTTCAATTTCTGATTGTATAATTAATAAAAACAACATCATTGTTTGAGCATGGCGTAGTTCAGACTTCAAATTTTGATACCATAATGGGGTAAAATTAACTAAAATGAAAGAATGCAGCCACCATTTGTTTCAGTTCATTTAACTCGTTACTTTATAAAACTCCAACAAGAAACGTAACATATTGAAAAAAATAATAATAATGACGATGATGGTACGAAACTGTGCTTACCTTGATACCATTCAAAATCTCGGCCATCATCTTCACTCTCGTGTCCTTCAGTGCCATTTGTTGAGTCTGAAAGTTAAAAGTTAGTGATGGTGTCAGCACAAATATAGAGAATGTCATATTATAATATCATAGGTCATATTATAATATCAAGCAAACAAACAAACTAATTAACTAAACTAACAAACAAACAATTAAATAATTATAACTATCAAAAAACCACGACATCAAAATGATGCTGTGAATCTGAATTGAAATCAATATTCTACAAAAAACTCATTGTAATAATTGTGAAATAAAATAAGCATATAAGACTGTTGACGCGAGAGCAACAGCAGCCAACCTGAAACATCCTGGACTTCTTAGCAATGTACATGTTGAAAGGAATTAAAACAACCATGACTATGACTCCGGCGAAGACAGAGACACCGAGGAGTTTATAAAGCATGTAGATGCTGACCATTATTTGAAATGGTGCCGACCAGAGCATATTCAAATAAGTGGCCAGTTCAGTGAACTTCTGAGCGTCGGTGGACATCAGGTTGACGATTTCGCCAAGAGTTGATTTTTTACGAGCTTCGTTGCTCAGTTTCAATGACTTAATGAAAGTAATTTAAATTCTTATCTCACAATAATATCACAAAACAGTTATAAAAACAAACGGCATATGATGTAATAATGAGATAAGCAGTAGATGAAAAACTTGATAAACATCATACTTTTTTATAAACAGCGCCTGTAATGGCAGTTCGAGCGTTCATGCCAACCACCATGCAACAGTGGAAGTACTGGTGCAGGATCATGGATTGGATGAACGCTAGAATGAACAGAAGCACGCATAATGAGTACCCATGCCAGCACGGAGCTGTCGGACTGCTGATGAACTTCAGCAGTGCTCTGCAAAATTTCATTTAACAAACGAACGTTTTAACTTTAACGCCCTTTCATAAAATGTGATATTTCTGAAAAAAATACGAACTGCAGCAACATGGGACTGCTGAACATGACCAAGTCGTGCAATAGTTTGAGGAAGGAACCGAAAAGAAAGGTTCGACCAAATGTGCCAGCTAAGACAATCCACAAAGAAGGCCTTCTGAGTTTATGAGGCTTGGGCTGGGTTGCTGGCAAAATAGCAATATCGATCTTAAGATCGCTTCTATCATCCAACATTTTGTCCTGGCTCTTTGATTGATGTTCCTTGTTTTCTTCAAATCTTTGCGCATTCAATTCTTCCTTCCTCCTAAATTTTAAATATTTACCAATATAAATCTTTGAAAAAAAACAAATTGATAAGATTAAAGAATTGTCATTGGATTTTGTGCATGAAGGTACATTTGATGTGACATCGGATATGACTTTTTACATGCCACGCTCATTATAATAACTATACTACATTATATTATAATAAAAACCATTTTTTGAAAAGTTGAAGTAACACATTAAACAATTGAAGTTGAAAAAATGTTGAAGATTAATGAAGTTCGAACAATACAAACTTATAATATTTAGCAGCACTTTTATTCCAACTTGTTTCAAATTTGCTCACCACATAGTGGGTCGTCATTTTATCATCTAACAACCAAAGATCTGACCTCTCTAATGATTTTTTGTAACCTACCAGCAGCATTCTGTTGGACAAAAATTGAAAATCAAAAAACAAAGAGTATAAAAAAAACAATTAAATCAATCAACAACACACATACAAATATATATATATATATATATATATATATATATATATATATATATGTATATATATATATAATGTTAGAAGGAGACCACACTTTATGAATTATTGTATGAACTCTACAGAATTGTTGGCATTAATCAATTAAAAATTGATTAATGCCAACAATTCTGTGGAATTCATACTATATTATTATTATTATTATTATTATTATTATTATATGATCATTTATATAGCGCCTATTAAAAACATTCTCATAGGCGCTTTACAACTATGGCAATTTTCTACAAGGAAAAAAAATATGTCTTCAATTGACTTTTGAACTGGGGAAGTGTCAGACCAGACCGGTGCAAAAAATATGGAAGTTCATTCCAATGCCTTGGTCCATAAACAGCAAAACTACGTGATGCAATCTTTAATTTAGTAACCGGGACCACTAACAAATTTTCCCGATCTGATCGTAGGCCAGTTTTTAATGAAACCGATGATCTGTCAATCAACATTTCGGACAGATATTGCGGAGCCAATCCGTTTAGGCATCTATAAACCAAAACACAAACTTTAAAAACAATTCTTTTGTTGACCGGCAACAAATGCAATTCCGACAGAAGTGGGCTAATATGTTTAACACGACTAGCACCAACAACAATTCTTGCAGCTCTATTCTGAACCATCTGCAACTTAGCAATCTCATGTTTCGAAACGCCATAAAACAAACTATTACAATAGTCCAATCTAGAATGTATGAACAAATGAATCAGAGTAACCATGGTTGATCTGTTCAAACTCTTTTTAATTCGATTCAATTGCCGCAATTGAAATGAACAAGATTTTACCAAAACCTTTATATGTTCACCCATACATAGATTTTTATCTATTTTAAAACCCAAAACTGTAGCCATTTTTCCAAAATCAATAATCATGTCACTTATTTTCACAAAATCAACGTTAATCCTAGAGGTTTGCTGCCAAGTTCCAACCGGTACCAGCTGAGTTTCTTCCAGACTCAATTTTATACCATTCAAACCCATCCACCCATCCAGTGCACCCAAACAATTCAACATTCTTTCAATCAAAAAATCAAACTCCCCAGTCGCTGCACTTATATATAAATATATTATATATATATATATATATAATATATAGTCAACATTTCGGACAGATATTATTTCGGACAGATAGTATATATATATATATATAGTCGCTGCACTTATATATAAATATATTATATATATATATATATATATATATAAAATCCAGTTAAACACCTGAAAGAGTGTTTAAACTTTACGACATGATTTTTTTCCCCATTCTCTTCAATGGATAGTTTTGAATGATGTAAAAAATTAAAAAAAATATCAATGCCAAAAACATGTTGCTGAACATCACTGAAATAGAAAATAAAATACCAGAAATGAGTTTTATTTAGCAAGTGATTATTTGTAGTAATAAGGAGGATGAGAAAATTCAAATTTCAGGACGTATTCAAAGGAAAATTTAATAACACTAACGAATTGAACCACCAAAACAAGAGCTGTGAAATAAAGCATGATGTAGCTTCTGGACAAGCCTTTCCTTCCTTTCAAAAAACATTTATATTATTATTATTACCATAATTATCAATATAATTATTATTATTATCATAATTATTATTATCATCATCATCATCATTATCTATGGTAAATTTAGTCTATATAACTTAATGAAATAAAATAAAATATGTATTTATATAATTAGTAGTATACATTCATCAAAAAAATAATCCAATTTTCGTTGAAAGCATTAACCTGGTCAGCACCAACAACACTAATTATTAAATAATTATGTTGCTATCAAATAATTATGTTGTTAATAATTCAAATAATTAGTGTGTAAATAAAACAATTAGTAGATAAATAAATAAATTAATACACGCACGCAAGCACGCACACACACACACACACACACATATATGAATGAGACGACGAAGAAGATTCCAGAAAACGAGAGTGGAGAAAACACGAGTTAAATTGAAAAGGAGGTTATTGTTCATATCAGAGTGGTTATGCTATATAGAGGAAGAGCAAACACAACACAGAGAAACATGGTGGTGGCGTAAAACGATGGAGAAGACAACAACAAACACAAAGTGAGAGTGCATTTAAATACGCAATATTAAAAAATACGACTATATAGAAAAAATTCTTGCACAGAGCTATCAACGACAGAATTCTGGTATTTTGTCATGCAAACCCATGATACTTCTAAATATATAACAGTAAAGTAGCAATGTATTTGAAATAAATATGCTATGACTATTATTTCACATTGTGGACTGGTCACCACTTTAATTTTTTAACTTTGTATGATGGATTTGTTGTATAGAAAATGATGAGTTAATAGAAAGTTATCATTGTAGAGGGCAAACTGCATCAAAGATAAGGTAAACAGAAAACTTCACTAGTTTTGGTTTAGGCATTAAATGGATTAATCAATTTTGCAGAGAATAAAATAAAAAAAGTCATCCCAACTTGATTACTAACCAAAGCGTACTGAGGAATCTTCTTAGGTAGATCTGTAAAAAACCCACTCAGAATGACTTGCAGCATAGAAAGCAACAAAAATAAGCAACTATATGTCAAGTGAAAAACTGTAAAAATGTTTTCCTTGAAAAAATGTTGGGGTGATTAAAATAAATTATTATTGCTTTAATCATCAAAATCATTTAAAAAAATAGTTTTGTATAAAAATAATATTTCTTAACATTTTTAACATAAACTTCAAAAAACTTTAAACAATTTATGAATCGGTTGATTACAGAAGAGAATGGAAGGAGTGTTCAGACTGTTAGCTATATGTATATATGTAATAAAGCAGATTGGAAATCATAAATGATAAATAAAATGCTCAAATCTAACCTCGGCCAGAAAGTATTTTACTCTAGCCTGCAGTATCACACATCCACAGATCATCTGGAGAAGCCAATAGAGAAACAAGATACCGCAAACTTTATTTCCATATTTTCTATTGAACTGAATGACTATTATTGAAAGTGTCTGAAAAAGCATAAAATAGTAAGAACCACCAAGTATTGCTATAAAAACCACATAAAGTAATAACAACAAACCATAGCCATCAGATGACAACATGGTCCTAGAATGTGAGCAACGTAAGCATGGTAGCCAGATACATATTCATGGATGCTGAAGCATACATCAATAAAACACAGGATTGCAAGAAATAAACTGAAAACCTAAAGTATTATGAAAATTACTTCTAGATATTTTATAGCAATAATTTTTATCTAAATTTTTTTTACTAGACAAAAGTAGCTAAATAATTTTTTCAACAATTTCAAATACAGCCAAATTTAGTCGTGAATAAAAATAAACAATGTATTAAAAAAATTGAGCATCTATAAAGCCATCATACATTAAAAACTTGAAAATTTATATAATTAAAAATTTAATACCACAAAAAATTTTCAGAAGTCAGATTTAAGCATTTGTTTTCTTCCTCGAGCCCCACCTTCAAATAGTGAATGAACCAGATGTTATTGTAATGCATCTTGTTCTTCACAGAATAAATTATTTTATCATATTTGCAGCTAAGGTTTTTTGGTGTTCTTCATTTTACTATAAGAAGATATTATGTTAGCCAACTAACATTGATGTTCTTTACACTAAAACATTTCATACAGGCATCATTCACACTATTCAATAATTCATTTTTTTTATTTCATTTTAGACTTAATTCTACATAATGACATTTCCAACCAACGTTCTGAATTATAACTGCTAATCATAATCAACAGTGAACACGTGATTAGAAAGCATGTTTCATTTCATGTTATCGTACAAATTTGGTAGAACAGAAACAGAAATGAAAAAAGCTCTCTAGGAAGAAAAAAATTAAAAGAGCATGCAAATGTACATGCAGGAAGATTAAAATTTCCACACTGCTCTAACCTGCAGCAGAATGGATCAAACACTCATCACAGACTATGTTGTGAATCATTAGGTGTACGTTCAAATAAAAATAACACTTTCTTTTTTGGTATTCAATTTTTTCCATGTAAATAATAAATCAAATGCAAAATCTGATACCAAAATTAAAATGTAGTAAACTAATACAAAACTAAAATTGTATTAATAATAATAAAATACTAAAAACATTAGATATTGAAAAAATAGTCTAAACCAAACACGCTTATATGTACTGTACCTATATTGGAGATTCATGGTAATAAAAAATTTATTTTGAGAAAATATCTAACATGAAAAATAAATATTGACACGGATAGATCTTCAGGAAAACATGAAACAACTAGAAACCATAACTTTGGTCATCATTATGATCAATGAAATTAAAAACGTTGACAAAACGCAAGTTATTTTTTAAAAACATGACAAAACATCAAATGATGATTACTAACAGTTTTCAGGACATTTAGCCATGTGTGTCCAATATCAACTAATTTTTCAAGAGATGTTAAATGAAAGACAGCGGATACCAAAAGAAATCCACATGGAACCCAAGCCAGCAGAGTATCTTGCAAACAAATGCTAGCAAAATTATCTAGCAGATCATTAGTAGCATTGTAAACCTGCAGTAAAAAAATAAATTGTTATTTAAAGTCTTTTGATTATATTTTAAAAAAAGCCATTGTTATAAATGTGTGTGTATATCTGTGTAAGTGTGCATGTGTGTGTGTTTTGTATGTGTGTGCACATAATCAGTGATGATGACGAACATCATCAACATCAGCATTCAGATTTAGAAGCATTTAAGAATATGAATTTTGCATGCATTGTGATATCAAAACTATTAAAACTAATGAAGTGAGTGTGCTGTAGACGGGTGATTGGGACTGTGTGGCCATGTGACAAGTGTGTTCAGATTTTTACTATCAGCTATAATGTATCCTGAGCAGCTATCTTGAATCAATCAATTAAAAATTTAATTAATAAAAAAGAAACAAGCTTAAAAGCTATTAATCCTCTGGGATATGTTTTTTAGTAAAACATTAAAAAAATATTCTGGTTATTAAACTTCTTTCTAAACAAAATTATAAAAATGTCAGAACACTTTTTAAACTATTTTTGAAAAAACTTCAATTTAAAAATTTTCCAAATATCAAAAATGTTTCCCATTTTTATGAAATATTATTTAAGTTTTATAAAAAAAAATAATTTTATCTTTAATAAAATTAATATTATTAATTTAATCTAATTTTTAATATTAGACTGGCAATGCTAAAAATTTTAATTCAACTTACTATCTTAATTTATTATCTTATCTTATCAACTAACTTCTTAATACTTACTGACAGACTGACATACTTCTGCCACTCAATCTGGTTTCGGTTTATTTTTTTCATTTTTTAATTACTTTAGTAATTAAAATCCTAGTTTAATTAATTAATAATTAAAATTGATATAAAAATGAAAATCAGACGAAGCGAAACTTACCAGAAAATCAGAACCACAAAATAACGAAAACATTTTTCAAATTCAACACTGAGATGAGAAAGATAGTTCTAATGATACTCAGCTCAGAACTCCACTGCCGACATTGACAAAAATTCGAATCATCGCCACAGACTTGATTTATAAACAAGAAGTGAAAGTGACGTTAGTAAAGCAACGTTCACTTTTTACTGCCAATGAAAATTATGGTTTTTGGTTTTTCCGGGTTTTTCATACTGGAGTATCGCCAAGTTGCGGTGTATGAACAATAATCTGAGATTTTTTAAATGGTTGCTGACTAGCACATATATCTTAAATCATATAATTAACATGTTCGTATTCTAATTATATGGGGGCAGATGTCAGAAACAAGTTTTTTATTTTCATATCATTTGCAAGAAACCTAGAATTCGTAACAACATGTTAACAATTTAAGCATTTTGTTTTAACGAACAATCAACTTTTAGAATATAGAAAATTAAAAATTTCCACATTGTATTTAAGTGACTATAATTGTAATAAATAAAACTAATTAAAATCAAATTTACGTTGTTCTATCTATATTAAGATTTTTAATGTATTGAATTTAATTAATTTATGTGCCCATACCAAGGGGAGGCCTATTTATTAACATACAACACTTTCTTATTCTAATTATATGGCCTATACATTGTTTTATGCCCAGATTTTCATGAGTATAAAATAATCTTATATAAGCAAAGCTTTCTTTTAACATTGTTGCTCGTCTAGTTGCTGGTGCATCGCGATAGGCAAAGCGTACAAGACTCCATTAAATAGAGAAGTATTGTTAAATGTTAAATTAATAATTAAATTATTATTTATTTCTTAAATTATTTTTCAGGTATTTATCAAATATATTAATTACACTTGAACGCCCCGTCCCGAGTTCATGCTCGTCTTCTCGTTTTCACTTCTCTTTAGCTCCTGTTAAACGATATTTCCCTATCACTTACGAAGTTCAGAGCGGAGACCCATCTGTTTGTGAAATTCGTTCAGGAGAGCTGTTGGACATCGCAGAAATGCCGCTTTTAAATCTATTTGGTTGGTTGGTTGATTGAATGATTGATCTATAGATATCCATTCCATTTTGTAACTATACAAGTGTGTGTGCTGAATATTTAACAGTTAATTTCGAATGCAAATACTTTTGTTAATTTTTGATTTATTGTGAGCTATTTATTAACCTTTTAAAGATCACATGTAAATGTACGAGATGTACTAACAACAACATCTAACACTTGTTAAATAGTTAAACTGCCGTCAATTACTAATATCCAATATTCCACGAATTATTTATGATGTTTTTTGTTAAGGTGACTATGATCGATCGATGAGTTGCTTCTCGGATCCTCACAGTCATTCATATTATCATTCTTGTTTCAGTTTTTTGAAGTCAAATAAAAATTCAATTCATCTCAGAGTAAAATTTTAAATATCCGACAATTAGAATAACGTCTAGCCGCCGCATTAATAGTAGACCGCATATCACAACAAAGAGATAACCTGATGCCATACATCACCGCATTGTAGTAGTCGATTCTGCCACAATTTAAACAAACGCACAGGATGTCGGAGTAGGGTAAAAAATATCTGAGTTCAACCCTGGCCCCTAAAAATATCCCAACTCCGTCTCAAGGTAAAAATTTCAGACTCCGACTCTTGACTTCGGCTACGGGTTCCCACCAGAAAAAATTTTCTACTTTTGCATCATAATTTTACTAAAATATAACTACTAAATGAAAAATACTTTAAAAAACACCTAAAATCTCTCGATGTAAATGTTTTTTTAAGTAAAATTACTTTATATTCAGGTTTCAAAACATACTAGAAAAAAATTATGTGATTTTACTCACATAGCATTTATTCTTTGTATTAAAGATGACTGCTTTGACTATACATATTGACTATGCATAATCTATCTTCTATAAAACACGATCTTAAAAATATTTTATCAGAATGAAAAATAAATTAAAAAAAATTGATACTACTTTTCGGAATTTGATGAAAAATATGCGAATCCGACTCCGGCCCCCCAAAAAATCCCAAATTCTGTCTAAGCGTTGCATTGTATAATATGTTTACCCTACATTGCAAACCGTGTAAGCCTCACAATTAAAGAAAAAATTTTATTAAGTGAGTTTTTGAATTTAATAAGATTATTTTTTGGAAATTACAAAATCGTTAAAAGGTCAAAACGTCTTATTAACTTTTCCAAAGTTCGTAGGAATCAACAACATATTGATACATACATTACACCGTATGTGAATAAATGTTAAACGACGCATCACCCACTAAACATTAGAGCACCAAGTTAAATGATTGATTGTTTGGTCAGTTACTTTTATCAACAAATTAAAAAAAATTTCATTTTTTTTCAGTGAATGTGTCATATCCAGGCTTACAACGTTGTTTTGGCGTGGTAAGCCAGGATAAGACAAGTTTACAGAATAAATATGAATTGAACCAATTACGAGTTGAATGTATTATAAAAAAGTTGATTAACGCAAAATGGGCAAAAATATTTAATGAAGTTTGTATCACTGAAAACCTCGTTCCAAAATATCTATATATATTATATATATATAACATAAGTATATATATATATATATATATATTTACAATATTCTATAAATTCTACCGAATTTAAAGAATATTGTAAAAATTATGGTCTATTACCAACATTCGGTAGAATTTATAGACAATTAGATTATTGTAAAAATTTATATATATATATATTATTATCATTAAAATTTATGAAGCGCTTATTAAAAATAATAGTGTTAATTTTTCAAAAGCGCTATCCTATAATTAACAAATAAAAAAACACAAATAAATCAGTTCACAGTTATTGATTAAATAAATGAGTCTTCAAATTCTTCCTAAAGTTTTCAATTCCTGAATTGCACACCCTCAACGACCGTGGCAAACCATTCCATACAACCGCCCCCGACACTGCAATATTTCTTGCTCCTATCTGCAAACGAAAAACAGGCACGACCATCAAATTATCTTCATCAGATCTTAGACTTGTGCCAATACGCAAATTTGATCTCTTCTTATTGAACTTGCATGTCAAATATTCTGGCGTAAATCCATTTAAAACCTTGTACATTACCATACAGATTTTATATATTATCCAGGGCCGCCGAGAGCCAAACCGGGCCCCAAGTTTGAATGCACGCCGGGCCCCTCATATATATATATATTATATATATATATATATATATATATATATATATATATATAAACAAATTTAGTTTAAAGAACGTTATATAAATAATAATAATAAATATATTTTTACGCAGACTACCTACAAACACGTAAAACCTACCAACTGTTTATTTCATACATTTATTTAGAGAAATGGTGATAAAATAAAAATTAAAAAAAAAAAACTAAAAACATGAAAAACATTTAAACCACGTTTAACATTCACATTATTTAACATTAGAAACCATTAATATGAACATTTGACGGTTGTGATTCACAAGTGAACTTTTCTACTTTTTTTATTAGCAAAGTCATCAACCACATCATCAAAATTTAACGATCTCGCTAAATCGTTTTCCAGTGCAAGCATTCCTAAACTTGTCAATCGTTCTTCGCTCATGGTGGATCGCAAAAAATTTTTTACTCTTGACAGAAGACTAAACGATCGCTCAACTTCCGAAACCGTCACAGGCAGAGTGCAGAAGATTCTCAATGCAATTACCACATTTGGAAAAATATTTGTTAGGTTTTGGCTTGCCAAAGTGCTAAGAAGTGTTATTGGTTTCAAATTCATTGAAAAATTTCCTTTTTGAATTTTTTTCAAATCAATTATTTCTAAAAACAATTCTTCTCCGTCAACATCATTATTGTACTTTTTAGACAATGTTTTTACCTTTTCTTTGAGCTCTTCTTCGGTCATAGTTGAATATTTCCAAAGAAACTGAAAAATCTCATTTAAGCTGTTAGCAGCTTGGTACCTTCGTACTAGGTTTCCAATGACACTGTCAAGCAGCACAAAAAAGACATTGATTTTAAAGTTTTCTTCAGGACAATGAATTTGCATTTGTGTGCATTTGTCAGCGAGCAGTTTAGCTTTCTTTCTTCTGTCAGGCAGTTCTTTATCAATATTAAGACATTCTGCAACAGCTTTGCATTCATTAAGTATATCAAACCATTTTGAGCGCAGAGTGCTAAGGTTTTCAATTAGTTGCCGCAGATTAACAACCTCTACGTCTAGGGTGGCTTGTCTGGCCTGCAGAATTTCATTCCATATGTTTATTTCACAGAGTACTTTTAACCATATCGATGCCATTAGTAGACACTCAAACGTGTTTAAATATCGTTCAATACCTTTAATTTCAGTTAATGTTTGTGGGGTGAGATGAAGTTGTTTTATAGCATTGAGAGCGGTTTTCAGTCCAGGTAAATGAGCTGCAAAAGGCCGTACACTCTCCACCCTTGCAGACCATCTTGTTTTTGAATGAGAATGTAGCGAAGATCCAATACACTTTTGAAGAATTTCCCACCTGTTATGCAATATGATAATCTAAGAATTTAAACAAATTTGAAAATAATAATTTACCTTTGTGGGCTAGAGCTAAATATGTTATAACACTTTTGAACAATTCCAAAAAACGTAACAGCTTCTGCTGAAGATTGGGCCGCTTCTTCTCCACACAAATTCAGACTATGAGCTGCGCAAGGTGAATATACAGCTACCGGATTTTCAGTTAAAATTCTGCTTTGTACGCCTTTGTACACCCCACTCATATTTGATGCGTTGTCATACCTTAAAAATTAATACAATACAACTCTGTATATAAAACAACGTATAACAATATTTGGGTAGCTCCAATTAAAAATTATGTGTAAGCTAAAATATAATTTTTTGCTATATTGTTTTCACTTACCCCTGTCCTCTGCAATTTTCAAGTAAAAGATTGTGCTCTTTAAGCGTTGATTTGATTAAATCTGCAATTGCTTCTCCAGTTTTATTGCTGCAGTCGACAAATTTTAAAAATCTTTCGTTGATTTTGTAAACAGTTTCTTCCCCTTCACTGTAAGGAGTCACATATCTTAGGATAAACACGGTTTGTTCAACGTGTGATGAGTCTGGAGTTGAATCAACTATTGTAGAAAAGTATTTTGACTCATTAATTTCGTTCACGATTTTCTGAGTGACTTTTTGTGCACAACACACGATAAACTCATTTTGTATTTCCATGGAAAGGTAGTGAACTGGTAGCCGTTTTTTTTGCATTTGTGATTATTTAACCTTTATCAAATGATAATTTAATATAGGGTCATAATGAGCTATAAGTTCTAGTATTCCCAAAAAATTTCCATTTCTAGGATTACCAACCAAATTCGAATCACCCCTTAAGGGCAGTCCTCTTTCACCCAAAAACAAAATTACATGAAGAATCCTTTGTAAGATAGCTCTCCAACGAGCTTTTTCGTTTGTTATCATATCAGTAAGGTTAGTATCAATAGCTGGTTTATTCTTCAATAAGCATTTTTCTAAACTTCTCCACTCAAAATAGCACAATTTGTGGTTAGAACTATTTTCGTGCGGGTTGAGTTTATCGTGAATTCTCTTCCATGAGAGTTTGTTGCCACTAAATCCTTCTGGACATGTTAACATGGACCTATTTGGCAAAGGCAATTTACTAAATATGCGGCATGGAAAACAATAAATTGCATTTTTGATTTTACTCCATGCCAACCAATTTCTTTTGACCTCTTCTCCATTTTTCAATTTACAAACAAGCGCCGATGGAGGAAAAAAGTTCCCTTCAAAGTCTACTGGAAAGTTTTTAGGCAAGGTTGGTGGACCGTTAAGGACGGCTTCATGAACGTCTTTGGTTTGAAGAAATGTGTTTTCTTCTTTTCCTATATCGTACACTGAAAGTGTTGATTTGTTGCAGTTGTTGGCCGCAGATGAGTTTTCACCTTCGTCAACATCAAACGTTACAATTTCAGGAGAAATAACGGTAAGAGCATCTTCCACCAATGTAGTATTTTCAATTTTTTCAGGTTCAGATTCGTTGTGAAAATTGGAACTTGATTGATTAATCATAAAAAAACTGTCACATGTTTTTTGGTTTTTTCTTGCTAACGTTTCTCGTTTTTCTTTTTCCTTTCTTTTTGAAGCACCTGATTTATGCTGATAGCTCATTTCTCTGATTCACTCTTGTTTGAG